GGGTAAGGCAGTTGCGCCTCCTTCATCAAGGCCTGCGGCCAGATTCAGACAGTGGGCCGATTTTCCCCTTTGGCATTTTCGGCCTCTCTTCCCAGCATGCATTGTCGGCCTCTCATTCAGATGCCCAGGGCCTTACCAACTCAGAGGCCCTGGGCTTTCAGCATTTGCTGAAATCCGAGACTCGGTGCACTCCAACCAACTGGCGTGCTGCAACTGTATGGACCCCACTTCGTGAAATGTTGCACAGAGGGCTCTTGTCGATTTGCTGGCCCGCCTTCACTTAGGGCGGGCACTAGGCTTGCTGGGGCCTTAGCCCAGAACATGTACATCATGGCAAGGCCCCTAGATGAGGGCTCAATCCACACATTCCATCCCCCTTAGCTTCGAAAGTCCGCTGAGATGCTTACTTTGCAGGCGCCTTCCCTTTCAGTTTCTTTTCATAGTCTGCCACCACCTGAGGAGCTGTGTCAATCAGTTCCTCCCTGGAAAACCAAYGATCTTCTTTTGGATCCGTGTGATGCCTGAATCTGACGCGGTACTCTCTCTTGGGCTTGGGAGGTCTTCCTCGGCCCAGCGGCTTTGGAACAGGCATGTCCCTGTGATCCACAATGTCGTCGATGTCAACTTGACCATCCATGGTTGGGGGCAGCATCGATCTCCTGGAAGGGAATTGATCTGTCTCAGCGAAAGGTGCAAGCTTTGAGGCATGAAAAACTCGGTGAGTGCGTAGATGACCAGGGATACGAATGACGTACGTAGGACCATCCATTTCATCTCCCACTACATCCAAGACTTCCCAGGGACCAAAGTATTGAGGCATTAGTTTACGAGATATTCCGAACTCCTGTCCTAACTCACTAGCCTTGACCCAGACACATTCCCCTACCTGAAATGTGGACTGTCTGCGATGTTGATTCTCAGAAGCAATCATGGCTTGCTGAGCTTTCTTCATATGTTCAACAGCCTCTCGCAGCAACTTCTSATATTGCACACCGTATTCAAGTGTGCCTGGAGTTGCAGCAGGTCGGTTTTCAGGTAGGAGGAAGTCTAGTGCTGATCTAGGCTTCCATCCCAAGTGCAACTGGTTAGGACTAACGCCGGTACTACTATGAATAGCATTGTTGTACAAGCTGGCGATGAGAGGCAACTGCTCATCCCAATCATCTTGGCTGGGCTTGATGTAATGCCGCAGCAAGTGCTGTACCACTCTGTTCATTTGTTCGGCTTGTCCGTTGGCTTCGGGATGATTCCCTGAAGTCGTTTGAAGTTGACTGCCCATCTGTTCTGCAGTCTTCTTCCACAGTTCACTTGTGAAGCGGACGTCTCGGTCACTAATGATGGTCTTTGGCAAACCAAAGTCCCTAACCCAGTTGTCCTTGAACAACTTGATGACATACTCCATCCTGGCTGTCTCTGGCATTGGTATTAGTCTAGCGTACTTGGTGAATCCATCAATGATGACGAAAATGTGCCTCTTACCACTCTTGCTGGTCACTAGGGTGTCCATGAAATCCATGGAAACACTCAATCCTGGACCATCAGGAATGGGTAAAGGCTTCAATAACCCAAGCGGTGCTTGAGTTCGCGGCTTGTCCCGCTGACAGACCTGACAGGTCTCAACATACTTCTTTGYGTCATCTAGCATTCTGGGCCACCAAAATCGCTGTACTAAGTTAGCACTCGTCTTCTTGTAGCCGAAGTGCCCAATTGCGTCATGACATTCGCCTAAAAATAAACTACACAACTGTTCACTAGATGGAACTACCAATCTCTTTACTCCGGCCTTATCAAGATAGATTAGCCCATCCACCATCACAAACTCACTTTCTGTGGCCTTGTCTTTTGCCTGAAGTTTGCGGATGATGTCCATCGTGACAGGGTCTTCCTGATAGGCTCCCACCAATGATTGAGTTACTTCGTTAGATACAGCAAATTCGAAAACTAGCGCACCTAGGTAGTCTACTCTACGGGATAGCGCGTCTGCAACCTTGTTGTACTCTCCCTTCAGGTACTCAAGCTTGAAGTCATATTGGTCTATGACCTCAATCCATCGCTTGAGTGCATCAGAAAGAGCCGGTTGAGTCTTGATCCATTTGAGGGTCTGATGATCAGTCCTCAGATAGAAGAATCTTCCCAAAAGGAAGTGTCTCCAATGGACAAGTGCCTTGTAGAGAGCGTAGAGTTCCCTTTCGTAGGTGGACTTAGCCAATTTCTTCAATGGCATCTTCTTACTCGTATACTCAATCGGTCTCAACTTTTTCCCATCCTGCTGAGCCAGCACTGCGCCAATGTCGTATTGGCTTGCGCCAGTGGTCACTATGAATGGCTTCTGCGGATCGGGAACCATGAGAACTTTGTGATTCATGAGTGCATGCTTCAATCTCTTGAAAGCACCCTCGCACTCATCACTCCAGTCCCACGGTGTGTCAAGTCGAGTTAGATCTGTCAAAGGAGAGGCGATTGTAGAATAGTTCTTTACGAAGTTCCTATAGTAGCCGCACATTCCTAAGAAAGATCTGACCTTAGTAACTGTTTGAGATCGTGGCCAGTCTCGAATACTAGCCACTTTCGCATCTTCCGGCCTAATTCCCTCCGCGGATATTTCATGACCCAAGTATAGAATCTTAGTGCGACCAAATTCACACTTCCCTAAGTTGACCTTATACTTGTGTTGTCGTAGGAGTGAGAGAACTGTCTCAACATGTTGTCCGTGCTCCTCGGCAGACTTACTAAAGATCAGAATGTCGTCTAGATAGACTACGACAAACTTATCTAAATGGTCATGGAAGATCCGATTCATAGCATGCTCGAATGTTCCCGGCGCATTGCAAAGACCGAAAGGCATCACTACAAACTCATACAGACCATATCTAGTCTGAAAAGTTGTCTTGTGTTGGTCCTCAGGTCTTATTGCGATCTGATGATATCCGGATTTCAAGTTTATCTTCGTATAGTACTTGCATCCCTGCACTCTATCCAATAGGTCGTCTATGCG